TTAAACTTGAGTTTTGTAGTCACATGATTTTAATTATTACATTTCAAACCCATCGTACTTAAATTGAGTCTGAAATCAGATGATGCTGAAATTTTAAGCTATTTTATTATAAAATTTTAAAAAATTTTCAGGTCTTTTTTTTTAAAGTTTTTTTTTTAGAGTTAGTATTGTTAGAAAAATATATATGTGAATTTTAATAGGTATTATAGATTTAAATAGGGTCTCTAAATTTCAGCATTAGCCAATTTCAGCATCAGCTAATTTTAGCATTATTCTTGACATTATTTAATTATTTAAATGAATTGATATTATATTATTAAAATATTATATATATATATATATATATATATATTTAATTTTTTTTTTATTTATTTTTTTTTTTAATGGGGCCTCTATTTAGCCTTGAGCTTTATTGCTAATTTATTAAGAGTTATATTTTTCAGGATTTATAATAAGAGTACAACTTGCCACATGTGCACTTTGGTGCCTAATTTAAGTAATGTACAACTAAGCTATTCTACTAATCTAGAGTTCTACACTAGCTATTATACTTACAACCCAAACTATAGAGTTGTCTATTTAAACTCTCTGATCATATTTTCTACTTCTACAAATAAGAACTCTAATAAACTTAACTTGCATAACCAACAAGACTACTTTATCTCTAAAGATAATTCTGGCTATGCTCAGTATATATCCTACCCATATGCACCTAGTTAGTTTTAATTAGTAACTTATGCATAGTATTACCCAATACTTGGGGTTGGGACACACCTATTTTTTATAACCCCTACTGTTACTAATTACTCTTGTTTGGTTTGCCAAACTCCAGTACTACCTCTATATAGTTTTTATGCTTCATGTCCTTGGTTTCCTTAGTCTACCAATCTAGTTAGCCTGGTAGGGTTGGTCTCACCGAGGCTTTTATTTGTCTCTTGGCACCCTTTTCTTGGTATACACTTTCAGAGCACATGTTTTTTTTTTCTCTGATGTGACTTTGGTAACCAGGTTGATAAAACTCCAAACCTATAAGGATCTTTTGTCAACTATTTCTACCAATTTCTGGAGCAATCCAATTCCATTTCAGAGTGCTATCAAAAATCTAGTTACTTTCAAACTTGGGTTTTGCCAAGCTAGTTTTGGTTCTTCAGGTTCTCTCTGTTGGTTTTTTATAGTTCTAAGGACTTATTATGGTTTGTACCACCAATACTGGTTTGCATTCCTTTGTGAAACACAAATGCCCTAGAACCTTCTAATGCTATATTGGTGTGACCGGAGATACAGGTATATAACCCAACCTATCAATAAAGATCTGTTACCATAATACAAAGGATTTTTGTTCAAAACATCACCAGTGGGATTTGAACTCTATACCTTTGAATTAAACTTGCTTGGGGGTGTGACAACTTGTCTATTTTGCTATGTCACCACACTCTTATTAAAATATTATATTTATTAGATTGCTATTAGATAATTAGATTATATTCATAATATAGTTATATTATAAACATGATATTAATCATGTTAATAGTAACTTAACAGAATTACAAAAATATTTTTAGAAAGTTGCTATTTTCACCCCATTTTTGCTTATTCCACCCCAAAATTTAAAAAAGTGCTCCGGAAGAGTATTTTTTTTATTAAGTAAACTCTTATTTTGATCTTAATAAAAGTTGTTCACAGGCCTTTCTGGTTCTAATGGTAGTAAAATCATTAAAATCGGACCAATGGTTTTTTTTTTTAAACGCAAATGAAAGTTAACTAACTTCGGATATATATACAGTCAGACCCCCTAAGTGCACATTCCCTAAGTGCACGGTATATGAAAAACTTCTCTAATATGCTGCCTCTGCTTGGTCCCAACTCATATGACAATTATAAAATTTAATCTCCCTAAGTGCACATTTTGCTTTTTTTTCACTATGGTCCCGAGGGGTGTGCACTTAGGGGGGTGCGACTGTATTTTAGGAACTACTGGTCGGATTTTAATTATTTTACTACCATTAGAGCCAGAAAGGCCTGTCGAACAACTTTTATTAAGATCAAAATAAGGATTTAATTAATAAAATACCTCTTCCGGAGCACTTTTTGATATCTGGTGGGGTGAAAATGGCAATTATCTATTTTTAATATATTTTAATAATATTTTTAATACATGTTTAACACATATTTATATAATAGTTATATAATAGTTATATGACAAACATATTTAGCAAAATTTAAAGGTTTCGCTAAGTATATATCGATCCTAATGCAGCCCCCCACCTTCACAACATACACTATCTTTTTTAATACAGTATTGCGTCAATTCGTGTAATAAATTTATTATAATTGTAGTAATTGATATCCAGAGCTTTTAAATAGTTTTTTTTTGTTAAGGTTTATTAGTTTATAAGAGCGGTCTTTCCATAAACTTTCATATAAGCTAAACGTTTTCAGACGAAAATTTAATAATACTGAATAAATTATCATAATGTTCTAACGACCTGTGAACAAAAACTGCTTTTATGTACAGGTCGTGCCGAATTACAAACTTAATCGAATCAACCGAAAAATAATCTTCATCAGGTGTCCCAGGATTTCTGTAAATTATAACTTACACATCCTAAAATGTTATCATTTTATTCGGCTCATGTTCAAATGTCTCTTTGATCTTTTACATTAGTTAACACGAATAAAATTAGATTTATCCTTAAAATAGAATAACATATATTTTGATTAAGTATAATATTATAATTTTGAATGAAAATGCTTAGAGATAAAAACGATAAATCCTATACTGTATATTCAAACCAAAAAATAAATTTGTACAGAAAGTTATCTATTCAAAATCACGAAAATTGCTATTAATTATACAAAAAAGCACTGTAATTTAAAGAGTCTTCTATTGTCTTTCAGCAATAGATTTCAGAGGAATAGAAAGATAAACAATTGATCCATCACTTTTAACTATATTTAAGTTCTCTGAATTTAATGATCCATAAAAAATTTTATCAGAAATAATATTAACAAATCCGAGAGGTTGACAATCCTTACAATCATAATGATCGAAGATTTGATTCACCAGTGTTAAATTTTTATTAGAAGTTTTAATTTCTTTACTGCTATATAATATTTCCTTATTTTTTACCTTGACCCAATTAAACTTTATTTCGCCAAAAAAATCGTTAATTTGACGAGAATTTGTTGTATCGACAATACTATAATTAAAAAAAAAACATTATCAATAAATTATAAAATAACTTTTGAGTGAAATATTGAAAGGTCAGATGCCAACCAAAATTTTTCCAATTTATATTTTGTAAAAGATAATAAATGTACTAAATTTAATAATTACAAATCTTACTGTAAAATGAAAATTCATTTGGTAGAGGTTTAAATTTTAAAAAGCCAATAGTATCGTAGGAAGATTAAATATTTTTTACTTTTATAATGAAAACATGGTACTGGCAGCTGAAACTTTAAAAGCAAATGTACTGTTGACCACTACCTACAGTGCCCAGAGCCTTATTCGGGTGCTCCATTCTTAAATTTGAGTCATTACGGCGCATTTGCGAACTAACCAAAATTTAAAAAATTTGACTACAAATATGTAAATATGGATTTGACTGAGATAATCAATGTTCTCCAAGTTATGATGCGTCATTTAATTAATTCCTATTCTAATGAAAGTGGTAGATGGATTCTCCTGTGGTGAAAATGGGTTAAAAAAAACCTTTTCGAGGTTTAACATTGATTGTTTAATATATAATATCTGATATGGTAACTAAACTTTAATTTTAGGGTCCAAATGCTCGGATTTTGTGACCAATTTCTGCTTAATTTCGCAAATGCGCCGTAATGTAATACCAGGTAATTTGGCGATTTTATTAGTGAATAAGGATTACTTTATGTAATAGAATATTATTTGAGGGATACTGTAAATAGTGGTCAGCCAGCAGTAATTTACTTACCAACTATATAATGACAATCTTTTCAAAACATTTTCGTCGGTGACTTTCTTTTTAGCTTTAATATCATAAACAAAATATGCAGACTCTTGGTGTACAGGCTCTTGACAACGTGTAAGGTAATTGCCAATGGCAAATGGTGAACTTTTTGGGTCATACTTTATTTGATCGTAAGTAACTATTTCCATATCTGAATTATTTTCTACTTGAGGACTATTTTCTACATTAAAACCAATTTCTACTTGGGGACTATTTTCTACGTGAGGAGTAATATCAGTTGCTTCTAAGACGCAAGTGCCAAACATACCAAATTTGCTTATTATAGGATGATCTTTTTCTCTAAAAGGCTGATATTTTCTGCTTTTAAATACCAATGGATATTGAATACTAAAATTGAAACTTTTTGGTGGTCCAAAGATAATCCATCCGAGTTTAATTTTAACTTGATTTTTAAACATTGGTTTTTCACCTTGTATATGATGAATAACTATCACTGGACGATTTTTATTTCCGTCCATATAATCCACATGGAGGGAGAATACATTTTTTTTCATGCTCACAATTGATGCAAGGATATTACACTTGCTAATATTTATGGTTTTATTTAGGGATGTTATCCTGCTTAAACTGGTTAGTTTGTGCTCGAAAACTCGTTAAACACTGTTTCAAAGCACACACAATAAACTGGTTCTCAAACTCTGTTTATACAAATTTATTATTGATTGTGCTTGCTAAACATGTTGATCCGAATCAAGTTATTTATTTATTAAATACATGAACTATCGCTATTAAGTACATAAAAAATGATTATAATATTTATTTCATTGCAACTATAAATTATTTATTTAATTTATCGACCTTCCACGCAATCAATAACACCCGATTCATACCAAGTTTTTAAGCAAAGACTTGTGCAAGCGTTCTCTTTAGATAATTGATTGCGTATTGGGCAGATCGTATTCTTTGCTTTAGAAAACATTTCTTCGCTGGAAACACTTGTGGCTTGTACAACCAAGTGGCCCCATGCTATCTTTACAAGCCCGGAGTAACATGCATCAGCAGATCGTATTTTCCAGAAATCTAGTGGGTTACAATTCTCTTCAATAGCAGTAAGATATTCTTCAAGAACACCGTGAGTATTATTTTTTGATTTTTCATTGCAAAACTTTCTGAAATAATTTCTTGAGGAATTATTGGTATCTTCAGCAAGAGATGAGGAGCGAATATCTTCTTTTGAATATCGTGCATAAACACTATATATAAGTTTATGTATAATTGGTGCCATTTCATTATCGAAAGATGATAATTTTATATTTGGGTCTAACACGACAGAAATATTGCAACAATTTCAGAGAACGGCCCAATAATTATCAAGTTTTTTGTACATTCGTTGTGCAATTTGACTTTTTATTTGAATCTCACTTTTCAATGCTTCATGTAAAATATTTAAAATCGTTGGAAATATCAAATGTAAATCTCCCATTGTTGGGTGGGTCGATGAAGATAAAATCGGTGTAGCCTTAGCCATTGGCTCAAGTAATGTAATGATTATCTAAATAAAGATAAGTAAATTAAATTTTATAAATTTTTAAATATATAGACTTAAATACTCACACTAATTTCATTTCATTCATTATCGCTCAGATAACGATCCTTTAACGCCGGATTGTCTTCAACCAAATCATCAGTCATTTCACGAATTCTGAATATCTTTTCAATCATAATATATATGCTGTTCCATCAGGTAGGTACATCCAAGTCAGGTACAAGAAAAGGTCTCCCGTTTGCATGAAAAATCCTTTTGTGGTCTTCAAATAATGGCTAAGATTTACATATATAGCTTGTGAAGTTTCTAAACTTCATGATTAAATTAACAACAATTTTCATGCTTTCTGAAACTGAAAGGTTTAATATGTGAGCTGCACAGTGGACGTGTTCGAAATCACTATTGCCATAATTATAACGAAGTTTTTTACGAAATACACGCCCAAATACATCCATATTGGATGCATTATCAGTAGTTGCAGATACAATACGGGAACTGATATTGTAAAAAAATGATATTGTTTCTAAAATTTTTTTAGTTATGTAATTGTCGGTATGTCATTCATGTAGTGGTATCATATCTAATAAAATTCGGTTCATTGTCCAGGCTTCATCAATCCAATGAAGTGTGATAGCGAGGAACCCAGTGTTGGTACATGAAGTCCAAGCATCTGTCGTAATTGCAAATTTTTGCTGGGTTGAATTAAAAAAATGACAAAGGTCATGTTGTTTTTCATGATATAATTTTAAAATACTCTGCATGACAAACTGTCTTGATGGAAGAGAATAGCATGGTGTTAATTTATTAATAAACAATTGAAAATCTTTATTTTCAACAATAGAAAACACTTGTTGGTCTGTAATAATCCATTTAAAGAGATATTGGTTTAGTTGTATAATTATTTCGAAACTATATAGTTCAACATTTGCCTTTATGGCAGCATTTAGTTCGTTCCACCTTTCTAGATGATTACGTTTAAAATGTGATTTAATTGTAGAGAGACCCATATCCATTGAATAGGAACTCTGACAATGCTTGCAATGTCGTTTGTCACCAGTTTCAGTAAGTTCGTCCCAGAAGGGATCCTTCTTCAATCGCTTTTGAGGATGGTTTGTTATTTCTTTGAGTATATTAGATTCAAGTTCAACTTGAGACGTCGAACTTGAAGAGGAAGTAACCTCAATTGCATTCGCGTTAATAAATTGTTCGGGTATAGTTGTTTCATTCATCACACAAGGTTCAAATTGTTCAGGTATAGTTTTTTTGTTCATTGCACAAGGTTCAAATAAATTAAATAAATAAAAAAAGAGAAAAAAAAAATTTTTTTTTACATATTTATATAAAAAAAAAGAATCAATAAGTCCAATTTTCGTCATCGCTAGAAGTTAACTTTTAATTAAATGAGTCATATCGTCATATCATATCATGCCACGGTAATAAACTTTTAATTAAAAAGTTAAAAAAGAAAAATAAAAAAGTCAATTAAAAATCAAGAAGCTTTTTGCTCATCAAATCGATTTCAGACTCAATTTAAGTACGATGGGTTTGAAATGTAATAATTAAAATCATGTGACTACAAAACTCAAGTTTAA